TCGAGTCATGCGTTTTATGGCAGGGGTGTAATACAAGTCCTTCTTCGTTGGTCCAACAGGCGCAACTCCTCGTTTCATAGTTAATAGGGGATTTCCTCTCGTATTTTCGGGTTTCTCCATCTACGATAAGATTTTTTCTACTAATCAATGGTTTACACGAGATCCAGATTCACTCACTCAATTGCCTAATGTCTTCACATGCTCATGAGAGATTATCCTGCTTTATGTTTATTGCTCTCTCTCTCTCTCTCTCTCTCTGTTAATCTCTCCTNACAGTACAAATGACAGTACTGCTACCGAAGTGGATCGTCATCCAGAACGGAGACTGAAGGCTGCCTATGCAGCATACGAAGAGAAAATGATGCCCATCCTGCGCGCGGAGAATCCCGGATTACGGAATTCACAATTGAAACAAATGATTTTTAAAATGTTCCAGACCGCCCCGGAGAACCCGAAGAATCAAGCTCACACTACGTACAATGTGAAGCCATGATCTTCTTTTATGCTCTCTGTTCCCGCCCACGTTTATACCAATACGAATGGTCATCACCATACACAAATAGACTTCCCTTCTGTGCCCAAATGTTCATAGCTCTCCCAAGTAAGGTGATCACTTGTGAAATACGCTTCCCTCTCTCTCTGCCCACGTGTTATATTTTTCTTGACCATCTTACAGTTGTTTGGCTGTCGTTTCGTCAGCTTACTTCTAATCCCTCTTTGTTCTGTTTTCAGACTTGTGCATCTTCTTTCTGTTGGTCATGCTTTTCTGATAGACGTTTGTTTGAACGTCGTGTGGATATAGACCCTGTACGCTATTGAAAAAATCATCAGAGTGAATTCTTTAAATCTGTCGTTTCTTGTTGCATCTTACTCTCCTTCATTGGAAAGGTAAATAAGATAATAATAAGGTGAAGAAAATTACCTGAAATGATCTGACATAGTTAAGCCTAATATTAGGCGGCATTGTTCAGCTTTCCTCCAGTGTTAATCTCATCGGCAAATGTTGGTTGGTTTATGTAAATCAAAGACGGAGGAAGAAGTACTCCACATTTTGTACACTTCCAGGAGAGCGTTTCACGTGACTCAGAAAGGATGTAATGTGACTGCGTAGATGCAGATTTCCTTGATTTTAGACAGAATAAGTCAGTTTCCATGTTGACTGATATATANTATATATATATATATATATATATATATATATATATATATATATATATTTACCACCGGCTTGAAAATAAGCATGGTGCCAACGCAACAACAATGACAGTGAAGGAGATAGGTGGATTAGGATATAGAACATGGTGAAAAGTGGGTGAGACAGTTAAACATGGAAAATACAAGATAACAGAATTT